TTATTAGCAAAGAAGTATAAAACTTCTTGCAAACATCTTTTTTGTGTGTGGTCAGAGGATCAGCAGAAAGAGTTTTTATGATTTATATATATTCAAAGTTGGTTTTGTTTTTATTATTACTAAAAAATTTATTAAATAACTTTTTATAAATTTTATAATGTGTATATAAAAGTTTGAATTTTTTATTAATACTATTAATATTTTATTGGATTTCTATTACTATCTATTATAACTTAAATTCTTCTTGACATACTTTCTACTAAATTTTCTAAATTTTCTAATCCAATTTGATTCTATTATTCTTTTAAAATAATTATTAATTCTGTAAGATTTTTTTGATAGAGATTATGTTTACAATCTCTTTTTTTAAAAATATTCTATAAATACTTAATTGAATTAAGATCTGATGACTGTGCAGGCTAAGAAATATTTGTTATCAAATTATTTTCTAACCATTATTTAACTATTTTTATCCAATGAACTGAAACATTATCATCTTAAAAAATATATTTTAAATTATTATTTAATTTATCAATAAAAGATAAAAGATTATTTTTGAAGACTTCAATATATATAGATTATGTAATTTTACTAAAAACTTGAATCAAAGGTTTAATTTTATTTTTTGTAAAATATTCCTATACTATTATATCTTGATTTCTTGATTTTACTGTTGAAATTAGTCAACTTATATCATATTTTTCATATAAATATCACTAAATCTAATAATGTAAATTATTTTAAAATAATAAAAAATGAGATTCATCATTTCAAATTACTATATTCCATTCTAAATCCCAATTTTTCCAGTACAACATTATTTTAATATTTTTTTTGTGATTTTTTTCAAATACTAAAGATTTTTTTTTCCAATTTAATCATAAAATCTTTCATCATATAAAATATGTTAAATAGTATGAGAGTTTACTGAGATTATTAATGATTGACCAAATTTTTCTGTTATTTTATTTAAAGATTGTTGTTAATTTTTTTTTACAATTTTTACAAGATGTTTAATATCTCTTCCATCAATTTAGATGATTTACCAGACTAAAAAATGATACTAGTTTGTTAATTTGTCTTATATCTTTCAATAATATCATAAATAGTTGTTTTTAGATGATTAATAATATCTTTAATATTGCTCTCACTGTGACCACCTTTCCATAGGCCAATAATTTCATCACACTCAATATCAATAAGTTCATGAATTTTAGGCATTAATTTTTTTTTTATTTTTGAATAAAGGAAGTTTGTGACTATGAAGAAAAAAAATTTTATTGCATTAGATTTTGTGGTCGGATACTTTTGTCAGATGAGTGTATATTAAAAAATAAAATAGCCATGTAATAAAAAATAAAGAATAAAAAAATTTTCATGCGATTTGATGGCCGAATTTCGAATTTCGAATTAATAATATTACGTGATTTTAATCAATTTGCTAAAAGTGATTATGGTGATTATGATAAGAACTATTTTGACGCCTTATCTGCATATTTTAGTATTAATATTGTTCCAAGTTGGAAAGACAGGCATTTATTATAAAAGACCAAACTTTGAAATATATAGATTATCTTATCAAAGATGTCATACTAAATAGTTTATGTAATAGACAAATTCTAACAAATGATATGTTCGCAAAATTGCAAATCGCAATTAAAGATTGCGAAGTTTGTGAAACGAACTCGAGAAAAAATTTTTTAGTATTACATGATAATGGAAATTAAATTAAGTATATAAGGATTTTGGATTCGCCTTTGATAAAGTCAACCTTTTTTTTGTCCTTTTAACGATAAAAAAAATTTTTTTCTAACGAATTTAAACCTTTTTAACAAGTTTTTTTTTTTTAATTGAACAAAAACACAATGACTCTTCGTCTTGGTAGTAAAGCGCCCAATTTTAAGGCTAAGACCACTCAAGGTGAATTTGATTTTTATGAATATATTGATGAATCTTGGGCAATTCTTTTCAGGTAAGTAATATTATGCATTCAACAACCCCTTTGTGAACAGAACCTAAATCTATTTCGCTTTTTTTTTTAGTCACCCTGCAGATTTCACTCCAGTCTGCACCACTGAGCTTGGCGAGGTGGCTCGTCGTCACGAAGATTTCAAACAACGTAATGTTAAGGTGATCGGGATTTCGGCTAATGGTTTAGCGGAACACGAGAAGTGGGTTGAAGATATCAACGAAGTAAACAACGTTAAACTCTCCTTCCCCATTATTGCTGATGCCGATCGTCAGGTGGCCACCTTATACGATATGTTGGATAAGCAAGATATTACTAATGTCGATACCGCCGGCATTCCATTTACCATTAGAAGTGTATTCATCATTGATCATAAGAAGATCATCCGTCTTATCCTTTCTTATCCTGCTTCGACAGGTATTTATTTTCTCTTTTTCGAGCAATCAGTATTAATAAATAATCATTCAAATTTTTATAATTCCGACTTTTAAACACAAAAATTAGGCCGCAACTTCGATGAAATTATTCGTGTCATCGATTCCCTTCAACTCGGTGATAAACATCGGATCACCACTCCTGCAAACTGGAAAAAAGGTGATGACGTAATCATCCATCCTTCCGTTACCAATGACGAAGCACAAAATCTGTTTCCCGGTTATAAGACTGTTAAACCATACCTTCGTCTTGCTAAATCACCTTTTTAATCCAAGAGTTGATAAAGTTTGTTAAACTTAGTCAAATCTTCTATTTTATTTATGTTAAATATATGATTTTTGTAAAAATAAAATTTAAATAATATATTTATACAATTTCAAAGTCACATTTACAAGTATTTGTCTATTTTCTATTTTTCGACAAACTGGCTGCATTTATTTGCAGGAATGAAAATCAATTTTTTCTCACGATGAATCACCCAATTAACCGCAATACAAAGAGTAATGTCGATTTTCTAATAAATGTTAGGAGGTAACAATAAAATTGCTTTTTTTGCTTCATTCTGATCTAATGGCATGTGAGATGTGTTTTTTGTAAAGTTGTACAGAATACATTTAGCGTTTTATAATTATACTGTTTAGGTCATTCCGGATGTTCCACCTTTATTAGGAATAGATTTTTTCATGTAGTGAAACTTCTTAATGCATTATTATTTGTAAACTAAAAATTAGATAACTATTTTATTCAATATTACTATTTATCAAAGATAAAGGATTTAATTTCAAAAAAGAAAAAGTTGAGAAAAGCGATAAATATAACTATATAGATTAATCTAATGTATCACATTCTATTTTGCAAAAGTAATAAAATCGAAAAGTATACTGTATGTTAAATATTTAGTTTCTTTCAAAATTTTGAGTTCACTTATTATGTTTTTATTATAAATTTCAACTTTAACAATTTTTAAATCATTAACTATTTTTTTTTTTTAGTATCTATAGCCAGGCTAAATTGTGAGTTTATTAATCAATTGAAAACATAAGTATATTTGCATTCGAGCAGCATGATAAATACTCTAGTTAAACTATTTTCATTCTATATAATTAACTTGTTGTAAGCATAAAAGTCTCTAAGTTTAGCCTTGAAGACAATATCTCACTCTGCAGTGTCTTTGGGTGAAGACCCTTCTAGTCTATTGTATCATTGCTAACAGGTTATCACTGTCATATGACATATCAAGCTGCTGGAATATATGAAACTACAAAAGAATAGGTTAAAAAAAGAAGAAAGATATATCTAAAAATATCCAAGTAAATATATAAGAATATAAAAAAAAAAAATAGTTAATGATTTAAAAATTGTTAAAGTTGAAATTTATAATAAAAACATAATAAGT